ATAAATTTTCTTCAAATATTTATACAATAAATTTTGAAAAATTTTTGGTATTTTAAAATTAACCTTTGAAAATTTTGTAAAATATCCACTTGGCGTTTCTAAGCAATATTCCCATTAAATAAGGATTCTGTTTTCCAGAAATGCCATATAATTTTTATGATTTGAATTTAGCAAAACATTTCTAGCACAAACACTCAAACATCACGCAACAACACCATATGTATGCGTGAGCACCAAATGCGGGCACATTTCTGCTCCGCCCACCTTGGCGTATGAGTAATGAAGCTGAAACTGTAGAGAATATTTTCGCAAATTGTTTTCATTTGTGCAGTCGTGCATATCCACACGAAAACACTTCGTTTTGCTCATACACACACATACATAGACACAAGTAAGTCTATGCACACAAGCAGACAGACAAAATTAAAATATTTAATGGCAGACAGTGAAAAGTGGGCGAAAAAATGCTGCTCAACATATGTATGTGTGTGTTGGTGTGAGTATTGGTATATATATGCGTGCATTTGTGCTTCAAGTTCAATACCATGAAATTGTAAGTTACACGCCATAAAATGCGTTAGAAAAAGAATTTCACTGTAATGGAAATGAAAGTGAATGTAAAATCCAATTGCTACTGGCATGAAAAATGAGCCGTAAAAGCCATGAAAAATCATCGTTACTTAGGCACGTCGCTTTTGCATTAAAGAACTTCATGCACTTTTTTCTAATGTTGAATCAATATTTTGTAACTGTTTGTAATAAATATATGGATATATATATTTATGTCATGTACAGCTTTAATGGCTAGTTTTTTTTTTTTTTTTTTTTTTAGGAATTTTTTTTTTTTAATTGCTAGTTTTTTTTTTTTTTTTTTGTATAAGTTTGCCATAAATACAAATATAGTAAAGATTCTGACCAAAACTCAAAGATTTTAGGCATTTAACAGAAACATATAGTACTTCTTTTGCTTATGGAGTACATCGACAAAAAGTTTTAGAAAGTAGATCTTAATAATATGGTGAGGAGAAAATTAGTTGCTTCAAAAAATGTGTGCATTTTAAGAGCAAATATCTGTTTATAGGTCCCTTAGTAATCGATGATTTGCTATCAATAGCTTTCCCCATTAATTGTTTCTTTTGATTTTAGAATCTCATAATACAAGATGGTCTTTTGATTCCACCAAATACAGAGCATTACCCTGGCGTCATGGATATTCGGCTTTACCAATGATTTGGCTGGTTTCCCATGTTTCAAATACATATGTATATTTTTTTTTTTTGCTTTTAAAGTTGTCGTAATGGGACCATTTTCTTTCAAAAGTCACAATTAATTGAAAAAACGACTTCTTTATGTAGCATTTGATTAGCAAGTAACTTCGTCTTTCAAAGTATTTTGATTTGAATTTTTGTTGAACCCGATTTCCCCGCTTTTGAGCTATCTAGCTACATTGTTTTAAAATGACTGCTCAAAAATATTCTGCAGGCCAGTTCCTCATCTCCAAAATTTTTGGCCAACCGTCAGCTAATTGTTTTCCAAACCAAAATCACCACTTTTATATGAAATAAACTACTTTTTGCACTTCGGCTTAACTAAAGCATGTTCGCTATAAAGTTTTATCAAAATACAATTACTTTTTGCTGAGATTTTCTTCACATTAAAGTAATAAGATGGAGTTCACTTGCTAAGTCCAAGAGGAGTAGTTATTGTTTGCGCTTGACACGAATTTCAACTATCTGGCCTCACTACTGATACCTCCTGCAGTGTATCAAACAATTTGGACCCCAGATGCTTGTAGCGTAGTCTTGTCAATGCGGGCCAAGAGCATAAGAGATGATCCATTTTTCCCCGGTGCCCTGCTCTAGGCATTTCCTACAGTCTACTCGAACTGTCGGCCCCATCTTGCGGGCGTGTGTCGCCACCGGACATTAATCAGTTAGTATTCCCATCATGCTCCTCTCGATCAAGTGCCAAAAGGAATGCTGTGTAATGAATAATAACTACCATCAAAAAACTATTTCACATAAGTTTGCCTTATTTGCAGCATATTATTCCTGTTTATACTTCAAATGAAAAGCATATACTAAAAAAGGCGCATAAGGGCAGTAGTTTTCCAAGTCACGTTGAGAACAATTTTCCAGAAATTTTAATATAAACATTCCGAAGTTGTGCAGTCAACAAAAAAGTAACTATCTTGTCAAATTACTGCTTCTGACACAAGAAAAAAATTTAAAAACAAAAAAAATCATCAATTTCTTAAATATCAAAGTGTCGTCTGCAACGAGAAGTAACAGTTAGAATCAGAGATTCTTACCTTTCTGAACCTAAATATATTGCAAAATGCTCGGAAATTAACTTTGGCCGAAAGTAAAAGAACTAGCAACGAAGGCACATAATCATTCATCACTTACTAAATAAAATCATTACGGATCAGTTGCTATCAACGTTTCATCTAAATTTTATGCGACTTGAGTGGGAAGCCACTGACCCCAAAAGGACCGCTGAGATGGCTTATGCGCTAGCAGCTGCCCACCCACCTGGTTGCACTGGAGCACGAGTGGCGATGCTGAATAAGCTTTAGCGCAAAACTTTCTCTAAATGCCACTAAATTATTGCATTGTCATGCGGTGCGGCACAGCGAAGTTGTTGTTTGCAACCACAACAACGTAAATAGAAGAACTCATTCGCAAGCATTAACTTATTGTCGTCTTCAGTCACTAAACCCACACCTGACAACAACGAACGAGCATAAGATGCACTGAGCAGCAGCAAAGAGGTCGCATATCGGACTAGCCAACAGGCGAGCGGCTGCAGCATGCCACTTAAGTGCGCCGACAATGACTAAGTCAAATAAATTCTCTTCCTACTTTTTGTTTTCGTTTTCACTTGCGAGCGCATAGCAGCCTCGCGCTGCCGCCAGTGTAGTCTCCGTCACTTCCGCCAAACTGTGACTAAACCGCAGTCGTGTAAAAACAGGTAGACTTGAATTGGTAAGGACACGACGTACAAAAAATTATTGGTTGAAGTGCCACCAAGCAAGTTCAGGTAAAAGCCACACCGTTAGTCAGGCAACAGCCAACACGATGTGGAGGCAAGATACTCTGTAGTCTGTAAGCCGCAAGAGTCCGGGTGGTTTCGTCTGGGGGAGTGGGAAAAACTTTTCGCTATGCATGTATACCCTGCTCCGATACGCTCTCTCAGGCATTCGTATTATTATAGCCCACTGCACTGCAGTTTGTTGCTATGGTTTTTGGTAATAAATTTCTATAGCCGGAAATTTATTCGCCCGCAAATGTTGGGTTGTGTACGACGACTACCGGTCGACCGACCTCACACCTAAAGTCGCGTAGGCAAGGTAACAGCAAGCAAAAAGCTGAAAAAATCCGAAAAAATCATTGCATGCATTACGGCGCGTCGAGTGAAATAGTAGAATAATGCGGAAGGGCGGCGCAAAAAATGTGCGCAAAACAAAAAGCAAAGCATACTTTTCAGCGCGTAAGGCTGTACTTAAACTTGAACACTTCAGCGCGAGCATTACGTTTTGCTTTTTGTTGACTTTGCGGCGCATATTTTAGTTTGCCGCTTTCAACATTTTTTTCCCACTGCACTCGCACCGCTGCCGAACCGTGAAAAAGTGCATTTTTGCGGCTTAACCTGGTGCTTACAAAAGCGCACCGCGCTGCCTGCTCGCAGCCAACTTGAGCCACTACCGCCACTGCTGGGCACTTGACTGTACTTGTGCGTCTGCTCTCGTCAGTTGGCGCTAAACTTTGAAGTTCAAGGATAATTTAAAGAGCAAGCAAGCTGAATAGCCGATTTTGGGCCACACTAGCTTAAGCAGCTTAAATTTTTTGTAATATAATTTAAGGCTGCCTAACCATTTGTTGCTATGATTTACATAATTTTGCATACTTTTAGGTGACTTTTAAATGAATGTAGTACTTGTTGCATACTTTTAGGTGACTCTTAAATCAATGTGGTACTTGTTGCATACTTTTAAGCGCCTTCATAATTTTTGTTGCTCTTTCACTTTTCAGGTCAAGCGTTTAACCATGGGCTTGCTGCGCTCAAATGAAGAGTCACGACCGCTTGTCAGTATCGGCACACCCACGAGCACAACAAATACAAACACACTGTGCAACGCCCGACTGCAAAGCTCGACAAGCAATAAAATCTATTCGAATGGCTATATTAATGAGGAGGCCTTTGAGCCGGAGAAATTTATTGCGAGCAAATTCGGTGATTCGTGCCGGCAATCGCTAACGGCTATACCCATGCTGGACACGGTGAATCTGAACGACAACAGCGAGTTCAATCTGAAGAAGCGTTATTTGCGTGAAACAAGTAGTGGTGGGTAGAAAATTTCATAACGGTATTACATGGATATGTGATTTTCTTCAATTATTTTATTTCGACACAAACTTTAGCAAACTTTTTCCTTAACTTTTCTTTTCCTGTAGCAACTTTCAAGAAAACTCCTCAGAACTTTTTATCCAGTAATATTTTCTTTTAATCTTATTGTTTACTACAGCAAACTCCAGTCCGAAGATTTTCGCCAATCGCCTGCGCAATAACACATTATCGGCCGCCATGCGCTCCAGCACCACCTCCAATTCCACCACAAATAACACAACCACAGCGGATGCCTTAGACGAAACCGAGGAAGCCGATCTCAAGGATGCCTCTTGGTTTCAAGCTGGCATTTCTCGTGACATAGCCGTCGAAGTGCTGTCGAGCAAAAGTCCTGGTGCCTTCTTAGTGCGCAAAAGCACCTCTAAGCCGGGTTGTTTCGCCTTAACGCTGCGTGTGCCATCGCCACCTGGACCAAAAACCGCTAATTACATTATACTGCGCACGGCGAGAGGCTACAAAATAAAGGTGAGTACTTGAAAATTATAAAAATGATTACGTTTTTTTTTTTCAAATTCTTATTCTTCAAAATCCTTACTCTGCAAACCACTTAATTTCTCCAATAGGGCTTCCGCAAGGAGTTCTCCACGCTGCAGGCCTTAATAACTCACCATTCCGTTATGCCGGAATTGCTGCCAGTGCCGTTAGCCATGCCCCGCCCAGCAAATATGACCTCCTCGCGGCGCAATATCGACGACTTTGACACTTACGATTCACTGCAGATGCTAGTGAAGTACTTACGCGCCAAAACTTTGGAAAATGAGTAGAGTCAAATTGAGTGATAGCGTTTAATCATAATTAAAGTGGCTATAGTTTGGTCTTACCTGATATGAAGAAGCACAAAACAAGCACGAACTATTATACGAGCTGCGAAAATTTGAAGATTAATAAGCTAAAGAAATACCTTACTCGAACACGCATACTCGTGCATCCCAGCTTCGTGCGCTTAAACAACACACACACACACATTACTTCCGTTTACGCGGGGTAGTACTTTTACAAGCTTCATTACCGAGCTATCAGCAATTATCACAGCTACAGCCGAAAACTTTTCACAGCTTAAATTATAATTTCTCTTTGCTTTAGAAAAAGCACACAAAATTGTTTCAAATAAATATATATATGTATATAAATATATATATATTGTAGATATATTGCTTATGTAGTAGGTATATGAAAGCAAAAAAAAAAAAAAAAAAAAAAGAGGAGAAAAAAAATGTCTATAGAAAAATGTGATATCATTAAGTGACACTAGGGGTGACTGCGGCGCACGAGGATCCAGACTCCGGTTACAAAACTACTTACATAGTTTACTTAGTCTGTATGTATTTAATGTTAAAGTTGTTTTGTGTATAACTGTTAAGAGTGGCGAACGTACACTATTGCGCATTAATATGTATGGCTATGTACAAATATGTATTAATTATAATCAATGCATTATTATTTGTCTAACCAAACGAAATGTTTGCAGCCAACTTTGAAAGGTTTTCTGTTCATTGTAAATATTGTTTATTTTGTGCAAAATCAACAATGTGAGACATGCAAAATAAATTTGTTTAGTTTTCATAAAAAAAAAGCTTATATGTTATTATTTTAGCAAATTGCTAGCGGTAGTGTAAAGGTGAGTACTACCATGAGCAAAATACTTTGTTCATAATTTATATTTTTTTAATTTATGCTTCAAAATCTATGTCCTCCTTCTTGGCCCTAAAACAGTTGTACCAACGTTTTTTCCAATCCTCGAAACAGTGGTTGAAGCCAGTTGCTGGAACTCCATAACACTCAAATAGTATTCATTGTTTGCAGGGTGGCCGGTCGGAAGGGACTCATAGTGCACCACACCTCGATAATAAAGCATAGATCCAAGACTAATCGCCAGTAAGAAACCGTTTCATGACATTCTGATAGTGGGAAAGCATTGTTTCACAGACATTAACGAGATGCTGTTTAAAAAAAATTAGTGATTGCTTACAAAATCGTGCTTTCACTTTTCTTTGATTCAAATGATCTTTAAAAATGGTTTTCACTGAACTCTTTGATATTTCAATGATGCCAGTAAGATCTCATACTATTAATCGTCAATTCTCAGGCACTAATTCCCTTACTTTATTGGCGTGTTAAAATTAAACCATTAGCACCAAAGGCCTGTTCCAAATTTCTGAAAATATCGGCGCACAAAATTTATTGGATCTGCTTTATTGGACAATTTGAGTGCTCGTAAAAATCGCCGAAAGCACTTTATGGACTTCATAAATAAAAGCGTGTACTAAACACTAATGATTATTTTGAAGTGACGTTTGGCACAGATCTCACTCACAGTCATATCAATCCTGGAAAAAAATATTTTAACGGCTGGATTTCGCGCGAAATTTTAATTAAAAAGTCTTGTTACTTTTTGTCCATCTAGAAAACCGCTGGGACTTTGAAATATGCATGTTAAAACTGATTCCCATACTCTTTTCTTTAACTATTACTTTTCGAATCTTGTTAGTAAAAAGTCAGTTGCTTACCATTGGTTCACATTTGTTTCATCTTTAATAATACTTTCGATACTCAGCTTAAAATTGCGCTGAATTTTATTATTTTGCTCAAGCCTGAAAGCCGCCTCACCGCTTTGGCTTACGAATTATTTTGTAATGTTTCCGAAAAAGCGTGAACTTTGATAAGAAAATTTCGTTATTCTTTAATTTTAATGCAGTATGCTTTTTGTTAGCCGAAAATGTTCCTGTGACCGGAATCCCGAAATTATGGACAAGTAAGGTTTACAAGTGAGTGAGTTTAAAGCCTTCCCACAATCTTTGCTTAAACGAGAATTTATCTATTGCGTTCACAAAACCTTCAATGCCGCCTGGCTGTTCGTGAATATGGTTGCTTTCTGTATGCTCCCATAGTTATTCAAGCCACTAGGTACTAAATATTTGGACTCAGTGCTTATAGACTTTTCATTGAAAATATCGGTCAAGGTGTGAAATATATAATTAAAATTCAGAGAGACTTCGTTCCGGATAGTATTATGTCTACGTGCTGCAAATGGGTTGATTCGGTTCAACTCTTCATATTTGTGCATAAAATGAATAAATTCGGTTGAAAACTCGCCCTAGACCCCATATAACTAACGTATCCGAAGGAACTTCCTGGCTTTAGTAATTGCCAGTTGTAAAGGTACGAAATGTTCGCTTACAACTAAAATTAGCGGTTACTCCCTTCGTCTTTGTAATTTTATCTTTTTCTCTCCTTTTTAGTCAAGTTTAGTTTAAAAAATCGCTACCTTTGCTAACCTACCTGGAAAATATCGCCTTTCAAAATACGTATTAGCACTAATTGATATATTTGCCCCTTTCACCATTATTTGAGTGAGTCTATTTATATATGTTGAACTACATACTCAAATTTTTTTCGTATTCATTAACTTGAAACCCAGTAGGGAAAATATTCGATAACTCGAAGGTCACCAAGTACCTATACTTATGGAAGTAGTAAACTTACATGAGTGTTGATACGAGTAAAACACACGAGTGGAACCACATGGAATACATCTAAGCGATCCCAATCAATCTCTATCTATTTTATTACAACAAGTTGATCTGTCATGCTAAAATCACTCTTTTTCCGCTGCCTATTTCGGAAAGATGAATTACTAAATATACGATTTCTAAGTGTACTTGTACTAGTAAAGCGTTTTTAAGCCAATTTGGTTGATTGACTCAGTTTTAAACCCTTAAAAATCAAGGATATAATACATTCTGGAAAGCATGAAAGTTGTGATTGAGAATAAAATGAATTTGTTGGATATTTTTAGACGCCTTATTTTATTTATATTATAAATTTGACTTTATATATACTTTGCTAAGTTAACATGACATCTAATAAAACTTAGTTATAGAATAACAATTAAAAAAAATACAAACTAAAAGTGAACGACTAGAGAGTTTAGTAAGTATATTAAGAGCCGTTTTCTTAATGTCAGTCATCCATTATTTCCCTAGGTATTTTTTAACTAGAATTTAACTGATTCAGAAAATGCCCTTAGTGTAGTATTGGATATTAATGTTTACTTTGAAATTTCTCCACCATATGTGTTCATCGATTTATAGTAATCTATAGCAGAAAAATTATGCTATAGAATTTAATAAACAATATCGACGCATCAACTCATCTAATCTAAGCTCTACAATGATATTCTTAACTCCTTAAGAACTCAATATTTACTAAGCTAGACTTACACTATATATACTCCTTTGGTTGATAGCCTTCAGCTATTTTATTATATTTCCTACAGGGCCGCGCAAGCGAATGTGTTTTTAATTTATCCCACACACACACACTCAAGGAAAAAGTTACAGATAGATATACATTACTGAGCATTGTTGTTTGTTTGCTTCGCTGTCGTCTACGCCTCGACAATGAAATCGAAAAACTCTGCTCATTAAGAAAATTGTGTTCACTCAATGTTCAATTAAAAAGTTTTTCCCTGAAATTTATACTGCCGGCAAAAACAAAAATAACAAAAATGAAAATATGACTGCAGCACAAAAAAAAAAAAAAACTAAGTGCTGGCAGCAGTATTTAGAGAAGTTGAGGCGCTTATATTAAACGTGACGAAAATCATTTTTATGGCAGCAGAGAAAACAGAAAACAAATCTAGAATGTATGCCACACGCACACGCACGTGCAAAGCTCCAATGCTTTGAAATATGGTGCAGCAAAAAAAAAAATTATTGGACGACACCAAATGGTGGGTGCGGAGTGTGCGGTGTAATAAGCTGACTCTGTTACTTTTGTATTCGATGCAGACTCTCCCTCTTGTTGTCTTGCATTAAGTAGCATTTCACATTTCCTTCTGCGTAGTCCCAGTTCTCTGCTCTACCTTGCTGTTATAATTGATTTCGAGCGGCGCTCAACGTCTCTGCGGAGACGCAGCGCTGCCGAATTGTTTATTTGCTTTTTAAATATTTAATGAGAAATTGGCAGGAAGGACTTATTTTTCCAATGGCTGTTGTCTGCTGCTAAAAGTTTGCTGTCAACAGGAGGGATTGGCAAATGTGAAACACAAGTAGCGGGCCCCCGAAGACGTCAGGTACTCAAAGCTGTCACAGCTGACTGAAATGTGTCCTTTATTCGTTGACTGCGTCGCATTATGGCAACATGGCACATTACTTTTCATTGAAATAATTTTCAGTGCTCCGAGTTGGTAGCCTAAAAACCGCGCTAATTTGTTTCAAAGAAAAACGACAACAACAAGTATCATATGATATAAATGCGACTTTGACGTTGACTTTGACTTTGAGTGCGGTGCAATTTTTTCAACTAATTATTTAAATGCGCCTTTTTTTGGTTAAATGCTTGCCAGTTTGGGCCGCGCATTCATGTGTAACGGAGCCGATAATTGCAAGATGTTGGAGTAAAACTTTTGCAACGCCAATACCTGACTGCTTAAGGAGGCGGAGGAGTATTATACCATATACACGCAATATAATGATTGCACTCACACACTGAAGCGTCGATGTTCAACACTTTGGGATACGGCTTCAGATGTATTGGAATAAAGACAAAATTATAAAAAGAAGCCAAAAGATACTTGAGAAAATGATTTGGAAACTACTAGAACAATTGCGCTTTTCCCGTGGAACCAGAGAGAATCACTTTTTGAGAGCAATATATTACTGAAGCAAACGATTCAGCTGCTATGAGGGATATAAGATAAAATCTAGTAAAATTTTAATATCTTTTCGATATCCTTCAGTTTTTCATAATATTTTCAACTGACGATAACTGAAGTGAAATTTGGACCATTGACCTAATTTTTTGCAACCATAAGATCGTTTTACGAGTAGTATGGTCTTAAGCCTTGTTTTAGATATGTGTTATTTAAAATCCTTTTTCTAAAGACCTTATATAAGACGCTGATATATATTCAAACAAAATAGTTCAAAAGTCACATTGTAAACCTCCGCTCGCATCGTGCCAGCACATCAATGAAATAAAGAAGTCAAGAAAAGTTGAAAAAAAGGCAGACACTCGCAACGTCTTTGAAGAAATTCCCAACTTTTTAATGTAATTTGTTCGCCAACACGCGCATCAATGTCT